CCTTTACTCTATTGAAATTTTCTTTTGCCATAGTTGTGAAAACTTAAAAGATTAATAATTAATTTAAAATTACTTAAAATTCATATTTGTGTTTTAGTAATTTCACAAGTTTAGACTTAAATATAATATATTTATAAAAATATACGTGAATTTATATATTAAAAGTGTTACTAAAAAATCAATTAACACAAACTAATTGGATTAAATTAGATTTATAATCATATAATACTTTTTCTATTAAGTTTTTTAAAATGTTAAAAATAATTAATATTATTAAAAAAAATGCTTACTAAACAAATATTATACAAGACTTGGTGACTCTTATTTTGAGTTTTTTTTTTATTTACAAATTTTGTTCTAATTTACTTTATAGAATAAACTTTATGGAGAAAAAAGAAAACTTTACAGTTGTATTAAGTTGACCTGCTTAAAGAAGCTATTTACACTTTAATATCTTGTTAATTATTATAGGTAATTTTTATGATTGTTGTAAATATAATATATTTATAAAAATATACGTGAATTTATATATTAAAAGTGTTACTAAAAAATCAATTAACACAAACTAATTGGATTAAATTAGATTTATAATCATATAATACTTTTTCTATTAAGTTTTTTAAAATGTTAAAAATAATTAATATTGTTAAAAAAAATGCTTACTAAACAAATATTATACAAGACTTGGTGACTCTTATTTTGAGTTTTTTTTTTTTTATTTACAAATTTTGTTCTAATTTACTTTATAGAATAAACTTTATGGAGAAAAAAGAAAACTTTACAGTTGTATTAAGTTGACCTGCTTAAAGAAGCTATTTACACTTTAATATCTTGTTAATTATTATAGGTAATTTTTATGATTGTTGTGAGACCCTACCTTTTCCTTTCCCATTTTACCCTTATCCACACCCACTCATACTCCAACTCTTCTTCCTGTTTACTCACTTTTCTCTCAAAGAAGAAAACATTAGCTTACTCTTCTCTCACCGTGGATTTCTTCTTGGTGGGTATAGGTGCTGATCAAGTCTAGACCGAATTAGTAGGGCTGTGTGGAGCTTCTTCTCCTTCACAATTTCTTCCTCTCCGTCCGTTTTTCTTCTTCTTGGGTGGCCTTCTTCCCGAAGCTCGAAATCTTCTATCGAGGTAAGGGAAGCTAGATTATCTTGCCGGTTGTTTGAAAGTGAGCTTGAGACTCACTTGATTGGTTGACTCTTTGCGGATTTGAGGGCTGTTTGATGAAAATGGAGTTTTGGGGTTGTTGGGGTTTTTGGGTGAAATTTGGGTTTGTTTTCGTTTGATGTTGCATGTTGAAAAAGCTGGGATTTTTTAAGTTATTGATGAAAATGTGATGTTTTGGGCCGACTGCATGTTGGATTTTCTGGTTATTTCCCAGGATTTGTGAAGTTTTCGAACTTGGATAGGTTGCTGATGAGCCTCGCGCTGAGCGCGGTTCTTCGCGCCGGGTGTGAGACCACCTGGGGGCTCCTTTTTCACAAGCCCGCCGGGCGCAAAGATGTGTGCGCCGGGCGAGCTTGAGAAGGTGAGCCTCTGGTTGGTCCACGCCGGGCGGGGAAGGGATCGCGCCAAGCGCGCAGGCAATATTTTGGGTGGTGGTTCTGTGCTAAGCGCGACCCTAGTCGCGCTGGGCACGAGACTCCTTGGGAGTCTCTGCCTGGAGGGCGTTGGGCGCAATTCAAATTGCGTTGGGCGTGAGACCAAGGGAGGTCTCTGCCTTCCCCGCGCTGGGCGCGGGTTCAGGCACGCTGGGCGCGTGGGACTCCATGGAGTCTCTGCCTGACAAGCACTGAGCGCAATTCTCAATTGCGCCAGGCGCGTAAGGGGCCACGCCAGGCGCGAGTAGTCTGGCTCTGGGCGTGTTGGCCCCTTGATGCTCTCGATTTGAGCTGCGCTGGGCGCGACCTTGGGTGCGCCGAGCGCGTAGAAGAATGTGAAATTGATATGCTTTTATTCGTTAAACTTTGCTGAAATTGATAATTATGCTGTGCTGAATAGATGCTAATGCTGTGCTGAGCTGGCTGTCATTGATGAAATTAAATGCTGTATTTTATGATTTTGTTGTGCTCTAGAATAATGAGCTGAGATGTGAGTAGTAAGCTGTGTTGAATGCTACTTAGTCGAACTGTATGTTGATATGTTGTGCTGTGCTGTGAGTTGTTTTGCTGTGCTGTTTATTTTGCTGAGTTGTATGCTGTATAGTCGCTATGTCGGTGTTGTTAGCCACTATTGTGGTGCTGTTATAGCCTCTATGTCGGTGCTGTTAGCCACTGTGGTGGTGCTGTTATAGCCGCTGAGCGGTGCTGTTATTGCTGAATTGCTGTGGTGTAGTATAAGCTGTGCGGGTGTGCTGATAGCTATAGATGTTTCTATTCATATATTTATATATGTATGTTGAATTCTTTACACTAGCTTACCCTTTGTTGTCTCCATGATGTTTGGACTGCAATGATCATACTATGTATGGGAGCAGAGCAAGGATAGGTCGGTGGCTGGTAGTTGGGCTGTAGCTGGCAGTTGGAGCTGACCCTCTTGGGTTGTTTTGTTTTCTTTTTGTTGATTAGCTACTTGGTGTAGCAGTTGATGATGTATTCTTTTTGTACAATCTAACTCTGGTCAGATTGGGACTTTGTATATCTATATATTCTAGATCCTATATTTATATATTTGTTCTATCTGTCTGGTGTTTCCAGTGTGCTGTGCCGTGTGTAATGACCAGCTGGGTCGTTACAATTGTCCATTCGATTTATTACTCATTGTCATTGGCAACATTTGAACTTCTATTATCAATGTTGCATTGTGGGAAATTAATTTTCCATGCTACGAGTATTGCTTTGGTCCAAGTTATACATGGAATCTGACTATAAATGTGATGTCTTTCCTGTCTTTCCTTAATGTGGACTATCTTGAGACACTTACAACTTATTTAATAAAAAAATATTTAAACACTCATTCAATAAGATTAGGAGGTCTATTGGAAGCATGTTTGGAGATAGCCAAACTCCATTGCTTATATAGGATGGCTAGTTTTGGTCATAAGTAAAGTCTACGTGCTCATGTTTTTAATAATGTTAATTAGTCATGCAACTTTGATTATTGCTTTAGAAAATTTAGATATAGAACTTTGTTGGGCGTTTGCCCTTAATTTCTTCCACTAAAGAATTGTTTTACGGGCTTAATTCACATGCAGTTTTATTTGATAGTAATTACTCAACTAACTCTTGCTTACGAGGAAATATTTCTAAATAGGATAGCCCACCAAGTGAGATTTTTGTGACATTAAAAGAAATTGATTCCACATCCATAAAGAGTTAACTTCATATCATTCATCACTTGTATTAACTCAACTGGCATAAACAATTTGTCGTTTTTTAAACCCACAAAACTCAAATCATGATAATTTTTAATTTTCTTAACATCAAATGTTCTACAAGGTATTTTCTATGAGCATCGGATTCGGGGAAATATGTTTTCATTATATAATTAATAAATACACTTATATCAAAAGAATATATAATTAGCTTTTTAAAAATTCTATTTTAAACCTGTATATTAGTTTATTTTAACTGAGAAGTTCATTTTATTTTTTCTCCTATAAATAATTTTGAAAAATTTATCCAAATATGTATTGATAGTATTTTACACTATCATTTGATTACAAACTGTTATAAGAGTAAATTCATTGACTCTTATAATAATTATCTTATAATCATAGAAAAATTATTTTAATTGGTTAAAATGTAAAAAAATTACACTAATAATGCATACTAAACTCGTCATAATAAATACTTCATGCTTTGTTAATGTTTTGAATTAAAGTGTAAAAGTTACAAAACAGTTATGCAGTCTTTTTCAGTAAATAATAATTTTAAATTATTAAAATGAAATTACTAAATTATCTTATACAAAATGTACAGTTACCATAATAAATAAAAGGTAAAAATATTTTAAAAGTTGTATATGTTAAAATAATGAATTATATTATTAGTGGAGTTGAGACATTCCATGTCTCTATATTTATTTAAAAGTGTTTCAAAATTACTAATATTTATTAAATTAACTGATATTATACTTAATCTTTAAGTATCAAGGTATTGAGTTGAGTTTATTTTTAATATTATTTTTTATTAATTAAAAATTAAAAATTAAAAATTAAAAATAAAATAATTCAAAAATTATATACAATAAAATAAGATATCCTTTTATAATAGGGTTAGGTTATAAATTAACCATACTCTTCTGCAAAACCGTTTTCCACGTAAACGAAAACTAGTCTATGGGCTTTACAGTAGCCGAGCCCAAATTTAGGGTCTTCGTATATTTATAGGGAGATGATAAACACACCCCCTTTTTAAAAAAAAAATATAAAAAATGTCTAAATTACCCTTAAAAAAAATAAAATTCCTAAACTTACACCTCCCTTCCCCTTCCCCACACCCCACACCCCCTTCCATTACAAAAAAAATGTGTGATTCGTGGCGGTTATTTTGGCAGTTTGTGGCGATTTTTAACCGCCACAAATTGCATTAACCGCCGGATCTACTATTGCAACAAATCGTTTGCGACGGATATTTTGTAAACGCCGGCTTTTTTCAAGAAAATTCAATCTCTTTGTGGCGGTTTTGGTTTAAAACCCCCA